ACTCCTGAAAGTTAGCTGTTCGGAACAAGGGATGACCACGACTGGCGGGCTGAGGCGGCAGGACCCCTGGAAACGGAGTCCAGAGAGTTCTGAAGGCCCAAACCCACCTGTTTCAGTTTCTGGGGGGCGGGAATCGGAGACTTCTGAGGCTTGGGCTGCACTCTGGTGGGGGCCCTGGGTGAGGACCTCATGTCCCAGCCATGTGGGTCTTTCCAGAGCAGCTCAGGAAAATAAGCAAGAGGACACTGGAGGTGGGCGCTGCATCTTCCACGCGATCTCAGATGTGACCCCCCAGGCCTCCATCACGCTTCCCCTTTCTCCCGGCCTTCCGCCCCTGCTGCTGTGGTCCTCCTTGCCCAGCCTCCTTGCCCAGCCCTCTTGCTTTGGGGAACACTTGGGGTCCCAACCCGCATCTCCGTCTCTTTCCTGGTATCTGCGCTTTGTGCCACTGATGCCCGCTGGCCACAAGCCAGCATCCAGCCTCCTTCCCCCCAAGACCTTCGGAACCCCGAGGCCCGGCCCCCACCGCCCTGCAGGCCCCTGACCCTTCCCCTTGGGGTTCCCTGCCCCTTCTTTCTTTACGGGGGGCCTTCCCGCCGCCAGGAGGCCCTCTCCCGGGGGTCTGTGGCGCTTCCTTGGGCTTCAGGCCTCCCTGCCCAGGTGGGCTGGGGAGGAGGAGGCGGGAGAGCCTTGGGGCCGCAGGAGCTCAACGCCGGGGCTTCCTCCCAGTGCGGTCAGGTTGAAGAGGCCACATCCCTGCTCTCTGGATCCGCACCCCAGGGCCAGGGGGCCTGGCTCCTGCTTGAGCTTGGCGGCCTTTGGCACACGATGCAGAGGACGGTTTGCTTCGATTCTCGCAGGCCGACGAGGCCACCTGCTGCCCGGCCCTGCTCTGGCCCGGCTGCTCCTCAAGCTGGGTCTCCAGGGCCCCTCAGCGCCTCTCACTCCCCAAGCGTGGTCTTCCCGGCGCTTTCAGGCCCCCCACTTGACCTTCCAACACCCCCCGCCTGCTTAAGCAGCCACATCTGGCCCACGTCCAGGTCGGGGCAGGTGAGGAAAGGCCCCGGCAGACCCCGGGTGAGGCAGCTTCCTGGGCGTGTGTTGTTCTCAGCTACTTCCTTTCTGGGGACCCCTTAGTTCTGTCTCAGGTTCCGGCGCCCGAGGGGACAGGAGCTGCACGGTCTGTCCGTGAAATCCGGGGCTGACGTGTGAGGCTCGAGCGCCCCCAGGTGTCCGAGGCCGGGATGGGCCGGGATGGCCGCCCCCTCGGGAGCCTCTGGCCAGAGCACCCGGGGCAGGTGCTGGTGCCCTGGGGCGCCGCGGGCCTGCGGGCTCCTGTCCTGGACGTCACGCTCTCAAGGCGCGGGGCGGCCACAGCCCCCGGGCCCCCCCACACACCTCAGCGGCCCCACGGCCCCAGCTGCGGGCGGGCGCGGCGGGGCAGACCCCGTGTGCTGGGCATTCAAACCCGCTCTGAACTTGCGGGGCGCTGGACCCCGAACATTCCCCGTACACAGTGAGGTGCTGCGTTCTGCTCTGCTCCAGATCCCTAGGAAAAGCCGCTCTTGGGATTTATTTGCTTCTCTTAAAAAATACTTGTTCTACCCGGAGGCTGCCAGGCGGCTCAGTGGACGCAAGCCCCAGGGGGCCGCTCAGCGCTTCCAGGGTGGTGACAGGCGGCCACTTCTTCACTCTGGTTTTAGTGACAAACAGTGCGTGCTTTTCATTTTGAGGATTCCGTGTCACTTTGCACGTTGAGAAGGTTGCATCTGAATTGTGATGCGTTGTGTGAAATACACCCTGGACACGAGGGTACTAAAGCAAGGGCACAGCATGCCATTCATTTAAAAGAATTTGTGCTGAAGCTCATCCCTTTTTTTTTTGAAATAGTAACTACACTGGAGTAATTTGTATATATTGAGTTAGAGAAAACATTAATTTTTTAAAAAAGATTTTATTTTTGCACAGAACTGGGGTGTAGGCCAGAAGTACGGGGGTGTGTGTGAGAAGATTCACCAGAGACAGAGTGGGGAGCAGAACAGGTGGGATGGACTGAAATACACTGCTGAGGGGAGCAGCAGGCGAGACAGGAGAGGTCTGCTGTGCCACGTGGGTAGCTCCCTGTCCAGGGATCGCCTTCGCCATGGGCCATCTTGGTGGTAGAGCTGAACCTTAACCCCTAGGCCACAGGGAGGCCCTAAATAAAACATTAATTTCACCAGTATTTTTTCCAGGTGGCTATAAAAAAGGTCTGAATGACTTCAGAGGGCATTCTTTGTGTTTCTGCTCTAGGGGGTGGGTTGAGCTAAATCTGAGTTTTAATGTGTGCACTGCTGTCCACAGAACCGGGCATATGTGTGGGGATGGTCTTGGTGGCCGAGATGAGTGTTCTTCCCAAGCTGCATGCCCAGCTCCCACACTAGCCTGTGAGCCTCTTCCTGCCCTCGGACCCTTTCCTGATCCTACCAGGTGCCTCCTGTTGACCTGCAGGTGACGCTGACCACCCAGCGGTCACACGTTAGACACCAAGACCCGGCTCTAGCATTTGCTGCCACTGGCTGTGTGCCTCTCTTGCTTCCCAGTTGATGTGAAACGGGGTTGAGTCCTGCTCTGCTTCCCAAGGGGCTCCCAAGGCCAGAGTAAGGCTCACAAGGGGAAGCCCTTTCAGCCACTGCTGGGGGTTCTCTGGAGGGGGACATCATGGAAGGCATCACCTTTCTGGAATGCCAGTGTGCTCCCTGTGCTGAAGTCTTTTGATACGTGTGAAAGGCCACCTTTTTTTTTGTGGGACCCTCGCCGGCGGCTGGAGAACGAACCGGCGCTGAAGAGGCTACAGGCAGCCTCGCAGCCCAGCGCTCAACCGCTGCGCCACCAGGGGAGGCCCAAAAGGCCACCTTTTAAAAGCTTTTACATGCATGTCAGTGGCCTGCAGCAAGCAGCTGATTCAGTTCATAGACCTGAAGAAAACAGGAGTGAGGCCCAAGTTTCTCAAAGGGAGTGTGCGCGCTTGGTCGGCTGGCTCAGGCAGCAGAGCCACAGGAAGCAAGCTGAGAGGGACCTGAAGGGCAGACCCCACCAGCCGCTAGCACCCCTGTTAACCTCAGCGATAGGACAGCCAGAAAGTGCAAGTATTTCCTTAGGGAGCCCAAGTCCCTGCCACCCCCACCAGCTAAGGAGTCAAGTTTGAGCCTTAAGGATCTGGAACGCAGAAGCACCCAGCCTTTTCTCAAAAAAGTTCATTATAGCCGTACACACACACTCACACACACTCACACACACTCCCCACCCAGGAAAGAACACGCAGGAACGAAATGCTCCTGTGGTTTTTTAACTTTGAAATGAAATCCCTAGTCAGGGTAGCACCTGGTTCTAGAAGTTCTGGGTCACAGACCCTGCACTGTGAGGCATTAGAGAGCAGGATTGGCCTAAGGTGGGCTCTCCTGGGCTCATCTGGGATCAGAGGCCCTGAGAAGCCTGTGGGCTCTGGACAAAGGAGGCTTCTCTGTCAAGTGGCTCCAGGGCAAGGATTGTGGAGGCTACTGGTAACTTTTGCCCCTGTTCCAGTTGGGGAGCAGCACACGTCATGCCCAGCATCCCAGAAACTAGTTCCCTAGGGGAGAGCACAGCTTTCCAAAAAAGTAAGGGCTGAAAGTAAAGTTCTGGGGCTCTGACCACATAACTTTCTTTTTCAGGACAACACAGCCCAGAAAATCTGGATCTTCCTACCCAGGAAAGGGGCCAGGCCTCAGGCAGGCAGTGGAGAGTCACCAATGATTCTGGAAGGAACTGAACTGAAGCCGAGAGGTAAGAGTGATCTGGTTGTGATTACTGGCGGGTGTGGGCCCAAGTCCCCTGAAGGCGCTGAGACCTTCATGGGGCAGTTTTCACAGCAGCTGCCTTGTGTGAGATCTCAGAACCACTGTTCATATAACCCATAGATCTTTCTCCTTTCAAAAGCTGGAAAATGGGTGCTCTGAATTCCCAAAACTCTTTGGGTCCAAAAATTCTCTCATCTTGAAACCTGTTTCCCAAGTTGCCAGAGTCTCTCCGGGATGCTGGGGCCTGGGCTACGGGGCTGGAGAGCCTGGGTGGAACTGCGAGCCGTGAAGTGTCAGAGCCAGAACCTGTTAGGTGGGGGGCCGCCTTTTACACAAGAATTCAGGCCTGCGAGCTGGAGGCCCCACAGCTAGGCAGTGGGAGAGAGGAGAGCTCAGTGCCGGACGCAGCCCTTTGGCCCACGGCACACCCCTGACTGAGGACGACCGTAAGGAGCTGGGTGACCGTCTGCCTCGAGCAGGAGGGCTCACTTGCCACAGGGCAACACTGCTCCGGGGAGCACCGACCCTCCTCCCCCCTGGCAGCCACAGAGCTGGGCTGCCTGAAGCGTCTATACAGATGCAGTGAGGGGGAAATGAATACACACCAAAAAAAAATTAAGAAAAAGATCCCTCTGTCTTAAGGCCCTTCTATCAATGGATCAAGCCCAGCAGCTTCTCCGATGGACTGAACGGGCGGCTTCGCCACCTGGCGGCCATCGAGGGCATGCGCTTCAGGGCTAATCCGTTCTCAGCCTGCAGACACCCACCCCTCTCTCTGGCTCATCCTCCCCGCTAAGGTAGGCATTTGGCACAGGGGACACCTATTTGGGTAGATGGGCCCTGGCAGGAGGCTTCCCCGTCTGTAAACGCCAGGCCAAGAGGGTATCCTTTGGCATTGACAGGTCCAGGCAGATCTCCAGGGGAGAAGGTGATGGTTTCTCGAGGTGCTCTGGTACAAAGCTGGGCCAGCAGTCACCGGACACTGCAGGGGTGGGGGCAGCGCTCCACAGGTGAGGCCTCTTAGTTACTTCTGCCAACTGATGATGCTCTCGTGACAAATGACTCCAGTCTCTGCCTTCTGAAAGCTTCGATGTCAAAGGGGGAAAAAAGGCGCCTGTTGCTCTGCAGTCAGGTGAACAGGGAGGCTATTTCTGAAAATGGGCTGAGGAATCACGGGAGCTGTTATCTTATTGATCAAGGTCCAGCCACTTGCCAAGGTATATACACATTTTATTTAAAAAAGTTTACAGTTTTCATTATACACAACTATTAAGAGGTTATAGTCAGAAGAGGCATTTGTCCTGTTGACAGAAGTGCCCACTAGATCATCACAATGCAAGGAAGGAGGTGGGAGGGAGAGAGGGCAAGGAAAAAAATAAGCGATAAAAAGCTTAGATTTCAATTAAGGGCTGGTAAGTCCCTTTTATCTCTTCAAGTATCACACAATATGTACCAAATACAATCAGTAAATAATGGCCATTTCTTCCCAAGCCCACAGCCAGGACAGCTATTTGCTGAATTCAAAGTCCTGGCGCTTCCTCAGGTGAGTGGAGAACCAGCTCGCCTGGGGACTGTTAACCGCCCTTCCCCAGGGGCCGCCACTCCCTCCAATCCCTAATGGAATTGCCAAGATGTCCAGTGGCCAGAAAAATGTGAACATGGATTCAGAAGTCCAAAGAAATTCGTTCGTTGCGCCCAATCAGAAATGATTTGATTTCAGTCAACAAGGCTGTGAACCCGGTTAGGAAGTTAGTGAAAACTCTCGCTACCTTTTGTTAACGGCGTTCACGTATTCTAATTGAGCCCCTGAAACACTGAGGGCCATATGCCACTTAAAATCAAATACTAGTTCCCAGAAACGTGGCATTTAGAAACTTCACCACAGAGTCTAGCAGAGCATCTACCGTTCATGATTCTCAGCCGTCCCAACAGGAGGCCAGTAAAAAGCGAGCGTCTGGCTGAGGCCAACTAGGGCTTCAGGAAACCTTCGGAGGGGAAAAAAATTCCTTCGAGGGGAGACACTCCTCAGGAGCTTAGATCAGCCAGTTGGCAATTTAGAACAGCTTTTGAAATGGAAGAAAACGTTAGGTATTGGAGAGAGATATGGCAACTTCTGTTCATTTATCTCACTAGTATAAAATGCTGGTTGAAACTGCACAGTAACCTCAAGGAGGGTGATGAGACTGAAGACAAAAGAGCAGAAATGCCAGCATCTAGGTTGGCTACCACGGAAGGCGGCCCACAAGGCCCCAGAGCTTGGGCTGCAGTGTTGAGGGCTCTTGCTTGTTGGTTTTGAGCTCAGGCTTTTGAATGGGGGCAAAGAATAATGGCTTGCACTGGTCAATCACAAGGGAGGATTTCAAAAACCAGGGGTACGATGAAAGGGAGCCGCTAGGAGCAGCTCTGACCTACCACTACCTTGACAAACAAAAATGTTCAGCCTTGCTGGGAGGCTCTGGATGTTCTGGACAACTTGGAAAAGCTTTTGGTGGTGTAACACCCCCTTGCTTCAGACTTACTCTACTGTCAGTGGGGTCCAGAGCCCTCAGATTCACAGCCAGACCTTGTTCCAGGGTTTCCTCTGTATCTACTGGTACGGTCTACCTCACCCAGGTACAAGGAAGGAAACAAAGTTAGTTTTGGAAAAAAGGGGATTCTGTTCAACTTACCAAAAGTCCATGTCCCAGTGGAGAGAAAAAGCTCCACTCGGAGCCAAAAAAGCAGCCTGGGGCCAAGGTTAGTGCTCAGAAAGGATACAGTCGCAGAGAGGGTGCCTGGGGATTTGGGGAGCAACTCCAGGAGCTTCCAGTGCTCACTGAGAAGCCTAATGAACCCTCATCACCACAGACTTGGATGGTTACATATGCGCATGCACACTGCAGCCACACTCAGACCTGCCTCGTCATCCCTGCAACCTCCCCGCACAAATCTTCATTTGGGGATTCTGCACCACCGAAGAGTTCTAGCGCTGCAGCCCACTTGACCCGAGGCAAGCATATGTCTTTGCGTTAGAGAAACGTGGATTGAGTAGGGGAGCAGAGCTGCGGCGCTGCTCACAGACCTTCCCTAAACTTGGTTCTACTTTTTGGGACAAGATTAAAAGCCATTATTATCTGGACATTATTTTTTTTTTTTAAAAGGTAATTAGAACACTATTGTTTATACAATATTGAAAAAATACAATTTTTTATTGTTGAACTCAAATCACCACCCAGCACTTTAAGCCTACCCTAAATCGCACCTACAGTAACGGTTATAGCACAAGCAAACTGCTAGTTCAGCAGGTAAGCAAGTTAGACAGTGCCAGCAGAGACCCGCCCTCCCCCAAAGCGACGAGAAGACAACGTGCTAGAGAAGAGTTACAGTACACCAGTACATGTTAAAGAGTTAATACTACCCTTCCGACAAGCCACAAATGCTAGATAGATAACTCGGTACGGTTAACTAACCACAGCCCTACATAACTGCACTTTTAAGTTTTTTTTTTAAAAAGAAAACCTTTTGCTTCATGCCCGTAATTAACATAAAATAAGTAAATTCTTTGTCTTTTAATTTAGGAAAATAATCATGCTAAAAGCAAGTTGTACTTTATATAGATTTTCAAAGAAAATATTGATTGTGCTTTTTGAATAAAAAAAAAAGATAGGGTACCTTCCAACCTCATTGACTCAAATCTCGTGGAATCTAGCACTTCTAAACTAAAATCACGTCAGAAAGAAAAACTAACTATCCCAGTGGGACATTCAAAAATTGTCTTAGGCGGTTTTAGGATTGGCTAATTCTGCTATGGTCCTACTGGGTGCTGCCAAAAAAAAAAAAAAAAAAAAAAAACCAAAAAAACAAAACAAAACTCCAAACCCAAAATACAGACTCGCTGTCTTAAGTTCTCCAGATTCAGCAGGCAACACTCAGATTTGAAAGAAACTCTGCCAGCCACCTGGACATATGGTTAGCAGGCATTTTAAATGGTCTGATTTCCTCACCATATACAGGAGAGAAAACGTTCTTCCTTCAAAACCTGTTCTGCTACTTCTTATTTTTGAACCCTTTTCTTCTAATTCTAAACCTGCATCTAATTCAGTCACACTCCGAAAAAAACCTGCATCTATTTTTCCCATGTTAGAGTCACTTTGGGTACCAGAACCTTTATTTATTCCAATTATTACTCATTTTCAATTTAGAGTGTGTGTTGGGTCTAAAATACTCATTTCCCACTCCCACAAGCAGATGATGACCAGGCGGCTGCCAAGAGCAGCAGCAGAAGGGGAAACAAAACCAAACATGAATGCGAGTCCCCAGGAGCCACAGCCACAGACGGGTCTTCCTCCAGAGTCTGCCGCCCCGCCGAGCGGCTGTCGTGGGAGGCGGCCATCTCTCGGTAGGTGAAGACTAAAACTGCAACCTGTCTAAGCACAAATCACACACACGCCAAAAAAGTCAAAACCCTAAAACCAAAAAACTCACCACCTCTCAAATGTAAAGCGCTCAGTCCGGGGGAGCGGTCTCAAAGCGGCCCACGCAGGACGAGGACGTGGCTCTGCACGCGCTGGAGGAGAGGAGACGGCTTCCCGGTCTTTCTCCTGTCCTCTCAAAAAAGGTCTGATTTACAAACTCTACCCCAAGAAAAAGAATCAGGTTCAGAAAACACTCCAAAAGGTTCTCCAAAGCAAAAACACTTGTGGCTGCAGGGCCCGGTAGCAAGAAGGGCAAGAATCTACATATAAAAATGTACTTAAAATCTGAGTCAAAAAAATTGTTGTATGTTCAATACTCTAATTAGCTCCCTGTTTGATACTGTTACTCCACAGAAACGGGGCCACCTAGGGTTCACAGGAAGGAGCAGCTCTGATTCTTACGGGCTGGCTCTACATGCTCCACAGCAGGTCTTTTCCTCCCATTTTGAAAAAGCACTATTCTATCTTCACATCCAAGAGCTGGTTGGTTTGGTTTGTTTCTTTGGAACCATCAATAAACGAAGCAACTTTTTCCTGTTATTTTTACTCACATCTATCTATCAGAGCGGCTCTTTCTTTGACAGTTCAGTAGCACACAGGCTGACTTGGCCAAATGGACTTATGAATGCATGCATTCGGACCGCATATTGCTACCAAAATGGAATGTGGGAATATGCTATGCACCTCAGGTTGAGAAATGACCAAGAAATCAAGATCTAAAGGGTGATATATAATATATATATATCAATGCTATTATTCATAAAAACCTTGTTTAGTAATAAAAAAAATTGCTTTGTTTAAATATGAATATTATAGTCTGCTTCTCATGGTTAGGAAATAATAGTCTTTCTGAAAAGCAGGTGCTTTTTCTACTACAACTCCATATCCTGGGCCTCATCTTCCGAAAAGTCAGACATTGAACTCTCCGACGAGCTGTCACCGGTGCCCTCTTCCTGTTCCTTCAGTGCCTCTTCCGTTGCATATTTCTGGATGTACTCTGCACAGGGAGTGGGGACAAAGAAGACAAGGACAGTGAACAGGCAGGTATGTGTTACAAACCCCAAAGTTGACCGAGTCTCAGGGAGGTGGGGCTTACATGGTGGTGGTGGGGGGGACAAAGATGACAGTTGTTATAGTCACTGAAGCTAAAGGCGAAAACCCCACAGGGAGACATCTTGGGAGTTGTGTTTCTTACCAAGGGGCGCATATATAAAGTCAAAGAAAAACATTTGACCTGCAGGGGAACAAAGACACTGCCCACACCTACAGGCACACCAGCCACTTAGGACCCGGGCACAGGGGAGACAGCAGAGGTGTAGGAGGATGCCTGGGGTTCAGTGGCCACCAATTCTCCAGTCAGGGTGCCCTTGGCGCTTTCCTTGTTGGCTTACCCATACAGCTTCACTGCTGCAAACTTGATGAATCAGGGAAATGTGACCCCCACACTTTATTTTTAATAAAACTATTTGCCTCCCAGCTAAACACAACTAGTTATAATTCTATAGTAATGTATAAGGAAATGCCATCTTTTTTTATAGATTTGACGTTATATAATTATAGTCGGTCCGAATCTATTATTTTAGGAATAGATTTTAAACAGATCCTGCCTGTCGGGTTTTTTATGCAACTGGTAAAAACAATCTCAATCTGGGTAGGATGAGCTGCTCTCTTGAGACACAGCTAGCCTGAGTGATTAACCATGTGTCATCTGCCTGAAGACCGACGCTGTAACATGGCCTATGCTGAAATGGCTGGCTGAAAAAAAATTTTAAGAACTGAACTTGTTCCTAACAAGTAAATGCATACTGTTTTCAAGTAAACAGCCTATATGCAATATAGAGAGACAAGACCACCTTATTCAGCAGGCAAACAGGAAAAAAAGGTGTCCTTATGCTTTATTTCCCCCCGTGGAGGTGCAGGCACCAGCTGCATAGGAAGGTAAGGTAAATGGCTGAGTGGGCCTGCCAACCTGCATAGCTGAGCACAGAGGCCTAGATAAGAATGTGATTTTAAAAAATATTTTTAGGGGGCTGTTAAAAAAAAAAAACAACTTATGTGACATAGACCATATGAGGCTAAATCTGGCCCTTTACAAAAGTTTGCAGACTTCTTAGAGAGCCCAACAAGTACATTATTCATAATACAAAATTTATTCGCTAAAAGCTTATGCCAAGATAATGGATCAAAAAACCTCTGCTAGGCAGGAACTTAAGTTTTAGAGTAAGAGAAATATTTATTAAAGCCTTAGAAATTTTATTTTATTCTGATGGCTTGGCTACTTCCTCTGTAGAAAGAAGCTGCTGTACTTTGTTCTTTGACACTGTAATTTGATACTATCTGCCTTTAGTATATTCAGGGACACAAATACATATTAAGTGCTTACTAGGACAAGGCTTTTCAGGAGATAGGAAATGAATAGCAAGATCACTTCTGAGAGGAGAAACAGACGAAGGCATTAGCTACCTAAGGACCCTCAGAGGGAGGGACTCTGGCTTCACAGCCCAGATGACCGTCACTTGTGCACTGACCCTTGAAGGGGTGCAGTCAGCTGCACGGCAGTGGGAAAAGCAGAAGCACTGGGGAGAAGGGGCTGGGATATGGAAACACATAAGAGAGAACTGCACTTGCTTTAAAAAGATCTTAAGTAAGGTTAAGTATACATACAGGTTTTGCTGCAGACAGATGGTGGGTTCATGGTTAAGTTACCGCTTTTTCTGTGGGGTTGAAACATTCCATCACTTAACTAAGGAAGAACTACATTGTGACATACTGAGGCACTGGAGGAGCAACGTGACACACAGTAACAGCCCCAAACAGCAGGCTTAGATGCCACGCACTGAAGGTTTCTGAGCAGGAAAAGAAAGAAATCTTTCCACAGCTCCAATGGTGTCCAGTCTTGCAGGCTGGTATTTACAAGACAAAACAGCATTGACTAAATATGGCGCTACCTCACGTGCATGGTGAGAAAGGGTACACATACCAGATTGAGGCCAGGCATGGAAGTGTCCAGCGGCAGCTCAGGAGAGAGTCAGGCCTGGGCACACATATTTGGAAGTCATCTACTAGAGCGGGTTATCTATTGCTGAGGGGTGACTAAGCCCCTAGGCCAAGGAGTCAGTATGTGGGAGGGGGCGTCCTAAGGACCAAATCTTCAGAGAATGACCATGTTTAGGAAATGGAATAAGAAGAGTTTCCAGAAAGCTAAGGGTTTTAAAGCAGCAAAGCTGCGAGAGGCCAGGAAAATGGGTCCTGAGAAAGGCCCAGAAGATTAGAGAGCGATGAGGTCACAGACTGAGTAGAGGAGGGGAGACAAGACAGACCTCAGGAATCTGAGATTTTGATTCCTTAAAGACGTCCTTGGGAGCAGAAAGGGCTTCTGAAATGGGGTTATCGGTGGCCTGGGGGTAAAAGAACTGGGAGTGGGGGAAGACAGTGCTAGGAGGAAGGGTGAATGAGAACAAGATCGCAGGCTGGTGGGGGAGTGGACCTGAGAAATGAGACAGGACCGCTCATTTCTACTAGGCGGGGACAACGAGGGCCCGAGCCTTTCTAAACATAAAGCTACAGCAGGAAGCTGAGGTGAGCTCAGGTCCCACAGGCAGGATTCTCTCAGATTACTGAGGAAGGCGAAATGATAGCCAGCATTAATATTTCAGAAAGCCAGAACTTCCTAAGCTAGAGCTGACTCTTCAAAGGTAAAAATGTAGGTTGGTTCCTTGTGTGACAGCACGTATGTCCTGCAACGGGGCTGGTGCTAAAGTGCTGCAGGACAAGGAGCATAAGGACTAGAGGAACACATTCTGCACTCAGGTACCCACAGGTCACAGGCACTTTTAAGTGATTCCTGCGTCAAAATTTTAATAGTCTCATAAAAGACTTAGCTGGTTGAAACTGATGGCTTTTTCCTTGAAATACATGTTCACTTAGCTATGAGGATATTCAGCTACATAAATTAGATAATTTGCAAAGCACTTGAGGCCTAAGTAAATTAATTAGGGAAGATTTATTTCTGCTCTATTTCAACAAAGTACCAAATAGTAACCTTATCGAGACCAGAAGACAGAGGAAAACCATTTTTTAAAACAAATAGCCCCAAATGCTCTTGTTTGTCTCATACCTACACAGTTAAGGGGAAGACCTATATATTTAAGCTCTCACAAATTGTTTCTGCCACCATTTCTCGCAAATGCTTCAGCAAAGGCACACGTCATGCTAGGAACTGGGTAGAGACCAAGGGCTGCCATTTGTTAAGAATAGCAGGCCTTTTGCACGAACTTTGAACTTCTTTCCTTTTTGGTGGAACTCTGTTTCTCATGGGAGTAAAAGGAAAACACGATGAATACCATCAGTGGTGTGGGCCTTAGATGCTCCACCACTATGTTACCATTTTAACAAAATTCATGTCCCATTAGCACATGCACTTTTAAGGATGGGAGAAGAGGATTCTAAATTCAGAAGGCTGAGCAAACAAGTACTACTGCCACTAGCATATGTCCACTGTCAAAGTTTTAATAGAAAAATCCCACTGTGCTAGGGCACTGGGATCAGGTATCTACCACAGAAAAGAAATGTGGCTAGATGTAAATTTCCCAAAGTAAAAGCAAATCAGTATGGGAAACAAGAAAGACGTAGGTAAAATGATATAATAATGATGAATTCAGCAATTATTTCCCAATGCCCAAAGTTAATTGCTTTCCTAGAAGGACAGGATGATACAGTCTAAACAAATATGAGATCATGACTTCCAATTAATACTGACTTTCAAGTCTAATTTTCCAATTTAACAAGACAAAAGGAAGCAATGAAAGCTAAGTTCTTCTGGAGAGGTATCCACAGGGATTTCTGGCAGGTAACATCTGTCACTACCCAAACAACTAAGTCCCACCTTCTCATCTTTCCTTGAGCTCTTTCTCCCTCCTTCCCCGCTCCCCTTCCAAAGGTAGCTATGACCTGTGGAACAAGTGGCCGGTGAGCTCTGCTCCAGCACAAGTCCCTCTTTTCAGGCCTGAGAAAAATTATTAGTAACTAAGGAGGGCTCTCACTGACCAAAGCCTAACAGATTTCAGTTCCATCGCCAGGTTAAACTCCCTGTCTTCTTACCTTTAATTTTCTGCTTGTATTCTTCTGGCCGGTGGAGGTACATGGCTGCAGCGTCACCATTGAGAGGATCTATGGGATTAGGATAGGCCAACAACTGGGGCAGGAAGGACTCAAATATATTGGTAAGATCTGAAAAAACAAACAGAAATACATCATAAACAGAAAAAACAAGTTCACCTAAATTTCACATGAATTCAATCATCAAAACTCCTTACCGTGCTAAATATTTAGCCACATGCATATTTTTTTGTGAAAGTGTGCTCCATTACATGTGACTTACAGTACATATTCCTTTCAACACAATTTTTAAAAATACAATTATGCTTCAATTGTATTGAAGAACCACGTAAAGATATACCTGATATTCATTTTGAAAGGTAATTGTACCAATTCTAATTCATTCCATTTTCTAAACTGAGAATTTGGAATGACTACATGGTTTATTAAAATCTGTGTCCCAACACCCTACAGCACTCTGCATGTCCACAAAATGAGCAGTTGATTTCTCAACTTAGTCATTTTTTTTTTTAAATAAATAGTTTTTTTCTTTTATTTATTATTTTTTTTTTAAATAGAGGCATGTTTTATTTATTTATTTATTTGTTTGTTTGTTTTGTTTATACATGCACTGGGTACAGTGAGAAGCGCAGGAGGGTGAGAGAATTCACCAGAGCCAGAGCAGGGAGCAGAGCAGGCAGAAGGACCGAAGTACACTGCTGAGGGGAGCAGCGGGCGGCAGGAGAGGTCTGCGCGCCATGTGGGACCCTCCTCTGGTGGCCAGGGAGCAGCCGGGGATCGAACCGGCGCCGCAGAGGCCGCGGGCAGCTTCGCAACCCAGCGCTCAACCGCTGCGCCACCGGGGAGGCCCTCAACTTAGTCATTTTCTTAAGTTTGAAAACCCTACTCTGAAAAGTACAAGTCCCAGATCTTAAAAGAACTAAACAATTTTACAGACCCTGACATTTAATTCGCCTAACTCCTAATAGAAGTAAATAAAACCATTTTTTCAATTATTCTGATAGTAAGGGCAGGAACCTATATGGATAACTTAAAATTTGAAAGGGAAGTCACCAATTTACTACATTCATTGATCATCATTTTAATAGATATTTATTAATACCCTTCTTGCCACATTCAGCTCAAGGTGCTGACACACAGTACAAAACCACCACCACCCTGTGGTCCTGGTGTTTGACAAAGGCAGCAGCCCTGAACGCCCAGGTGTAAAATAAACCACGTGTCCCCGCAGCCTCAGAGCTGCTGTCCTGCCCCTTCTGTCTGGTCGTCCAGTCAGCAGACACTGGGCTTTGGCGCCTTAGCACTTCCATATCTCTGCCCCACCACAGTCATGCTATCATGTTTCTGGAGGGAGTGCTACCTAAAAACTGTTTCATTTACCCTGCTTTTAATGGAATTTGTTTTAGAGTGAACAATCTTATGTAGTATTATAAATGCTTTGTAAAGTCAATCACTTTAGGTTAGTGGTTCTCAATCACAGGTGATTTTGCTTCCCAGGGGAGAGCTGGCAGTATCTGGAGAAATATCTGGTTGTCACAGCTGGGTAGCAAAGGGGTCAGGCCGCACATCGAGCCCTAGGGAAGAGGGGCCAGGGATGCTGCCTCCTACGATGTACAGGAAAACCCTTCACAACAAGTAATTGCCTGGTCCAGAATGTCTACAATTCTGAGGTTGAGAAACCTGGTTTAGAGAGAAGGGCCAGGGTAGATACAGCCATGTGCTGCTTAATGACGGGTTTGAGTGCTGCAAAATGCAGCATCAGGCAGTTTTGTCCTCACATGAACCTATGCTGTATAGCCTACGACACACCTTGGCTAGAGATAGGGACCACATCAGATATGTGGTCTTTCACTGGCCCAAGCATCCTGATACAGCACATGGGCCATCCTTTGGGCTCTGTGAGCCATGTTCAGTCTCTCTTATCACTGCTGCTGCAACACAAAAGCAGCTACAGATCATAGGTGAACAAATGGGTGTGGCTGAGTTCTAATAACACTGCGTACAAATACAAGTAGCCAAAGCTTGCCAAACGCTAGAAAACACTACAAAAATAAGAGGTGGTTCTTCCTTGTCACTGTAGCATTAAGAAACTGAGCAGTGAAAAAATAATCTAGGGCTAAACTACTCAGCAGAAATTTCTGCAAGAATAAAAATGTTGTGTATCCGCACTGCCCAGGACAGCGGCCACACATGGCTACTGAGTATGTGAAAGCTGGCTGGTATGACTGAGGAACTGAATTTTTCATCTTATTTAATTCTGATTACATTAAGTTTATATTTGCATTAAGCTTAAGGAACAGCATGTGGCTAGCAGATCCCATACTGGAGAGCCCAGGACTAGAGAGCATAAAAGGGAGGGCATATGACAGCTGCATAGCCCTGGCCTCATGTGTCCCATATACTGACACACGGTGGCTTCACCGTTAACCCCAAGTAATGGACTTAGTATTATTATATGGACTGGCGTTTCACCTTCTTTAAGGCTAACTTCCTAGGGCCTCCCTGGTGGCGCAGCGGTTGAGCTTGCGAAGCTTCCCGGCCACCGGAGGAGGGTCCCGCATACCTCTCCTGCCGCCCGCTGCTCCCCTCAGCAGTGTACTTCGGTCCTTCTGCCTGCTCTGCTCCCCGCTCTGGCTCTGGTGACCCTCCCGTGCTTCTGACTGTACCCAGTGCATGTATCAAAACCATGCCTCTTTAAAGGCTAACTTCCTAAAGAGCCACAGTACAGAATACAAATGCTGAGTTTTCTAATCAAAAAGGCAAAAATAAAGATCATCTAGGGTCTCCCTGGTGGCACAAGGGGTTAAGACACAACCTATGAGGTTCTCTGCAGCATGAGTTTGATCCCCAGCCAGGGAGCTACCCACATGGCGTAGGAGACCTCTCCTGGCTCACCCACTGCCCTCAGCAGTGTATCTCAGTCAATCTGCTGGTCCTGCTCCCTACTCTGTCTCTGGTGAGTCCTCTCACCCCCCCATACCTCTCTGTCCTGTGCCCCAGTCTTATATGCATAAATAAATCTTTTTTTAAAAAAGATAATCTAAGATAACCCTAACCACCTATAGTAAGATTTTCACTATTTTTCTTTTTTAAGAGAGGCAGTATATTCAACAAACCAGTAATTATTCATGACGCAAAAGCATGGAAAACTAAGGGTTGCAGAACAATATTATGGTTGTAATGCTGGGTGGAGAAGGTCATAAAATGGTATGTTCTCTAGAATTACAACGGTATAGCAGGCAGGCATAAGAATATTTAAGAAGTCAAGACAACAAGCTGTAACTTCTATTATTCACATTTCAAATGACTACTTTCTTACCTTTAAAAATTGTATTTTCCTGTAACTGTCCTGTCAACTTTTGCATATGCTTGAACTACTTAATAAAACAAGAAAAGTCTGAAGAAATTTTTCCTTCTCTTTTTCCTTAGGTGGATGGATTATTAAGGTGGTAGGAGGAAGTGCCAAAAAGTAAGCAAACAAAGAAAAAACAAGAGGTATAGAAGTTCTTGCAAACTGAACAGTAAGAATTACAGTAACATGAACAATAGCAACAGTAATGGCAGCCGCAACAACTAGCACTCACTCGAGCTAGGCGCTTTACATTTCACATGCACACGCAGTGTCACCAGCCAGTGAGGCAGGTACCACTGTGACTGACTCCGTTTCACACATGGGGATACTGAGGCATAGAAAGCAACTTGGGCTCACCCACTGCACTGCCTGTGCTCATGGATGGAATGACTGTCTCAGCTTTCAGCATGGCGCAATCTCCCTGCATTTCTCATCAAAACTATGGACCCTCAGAGATAGACTCTGCCCTCAATATTTTCCTTTCTTACAAGTTCAAGGCCAGAAAAAGGCGTCTCAGAATGCCGGGGTGTTACCGTGGCTGAACTGCTCGGCAGTTCAGAGAGGCAGTGTCCTTGTTTTCAAGTAGCTCAACCTCAGGAAGTAGTCTACAGCCCTTCAGACACCTGTACACAGAGAACTGGAGGCTTCTCCTGCCACATCGTCGTTACAGGTGCCGCTCAGAAAGACGAGCAGCTGAATGTTCCTATCAAACAGTGAAAACCTTAAAAATATATGGGCTTTATTCTCTTAATGTTCAGAAGTGCTTCAGGACTCAAGAAATACTGCAGACATTTCATAACTAGTTGTTTCATGAGTTCCAGGAAGAGACGCAATACCTTTTCCTACTACATTTGAGTTTCTTAAGCTACCAGTAATTGGCTCTGCCTAAGTATTTGTTCCAAATAAAAAGAACCCTCAATGGACCTTCCTTTCCGTGTCTGCTGTCTTCCTGCATTAACATACTTCTGATCCATTTTACAGATGCACTGAGTCACACCTGCATACCGGAAGTGTGGAAAGGGACAAGCATGCAGACAAGCATGCAGCCTAGTTTTGGATGAGATGACAACTCTGGAAGGCCAGGATGCTGTGGCACTGGCCATTTCAAAGTAGTCCAGCATTCCCAAAAGTGGCCAATAGTGCGACCGCTGCCAAAAGGGTCCACCCCAAAGGAACGTCTCTCCAGTGTGTACACATGCACAAAACCATCTTTCAAGATAAATATGCTGGCAGTAGAAACCTAAACTGTAAATCAAGAATGAAATAGAGATTTGTCTTTGGAAAAACCCATCCGAATGAACAATTTCCCTAGAGTTGTTAATAGAAACATCTGTTTAAAGATCTTTGTAAAGAAACCACCTTCGAAACTTTTTGAAAGGGAGAGCTAGACACAGGGTTACCAAATCTAGAGATTAGAGTCAGCTGGCTCCATTAGCGGCCTCAATTTTTAAAAGTTCCAAGGTCCCCAAGAGGTATTCTATATGAGTAAAGAGCTTACCTTTACCATGGACTAAATCAGCATTCATCAAAACTCAGTCCCTAGGAGGACTGATTCTTCAGCCTCATCCTATGGCATTGATGTTAATAATATCACCACATACCTTGTTTTAGGTACATAAACTAATGATATATATTCATATTTAATTTTTAAAGAAACTCAAATTACAAACTGACCTCTCATCAAAAGCAGCAACATTGACTACTGGCCTATAGCTCGGGTTACTGCCTTTTGTCCATGAGAATTACTCATAGATTTTTT